AGCCGACCCTCCGGCGTTGCTAGGGGAGAAAATTCTTGGACGATCGTGCAAGCGGCGCGCGCACACCTAATTGGAATGGATATGAGCAACACATCTCGAAGAACAACAGTTACAACGGTGAGTAACCGTCTTTTACTGTGGCTTACTTAGACCCAGAGCAGGGGAGTTTTATTGGCACTTATGGCCTTCCACTTCCCCGAGTTACCTGGTAGCTATGCCTAGTGGCACCAACAACTGTATCATTTTTGTTGGGGAGGTGGCGCAGGAGAGGCCCCGAGATAGGACAGACTCTTCTGCCGGGCTAAGAGTATAGCTGGATAGATTGACAATACTGTTGGGTGAGTTAAGGGGACCACTGTTTTGGCCCCTTGTGGCATGAGGAGTTTAGATAGTTTAGTGTCCTTTTTCCTCTGTAGAGAAGCAAAGTGTGTGTTGTAATGGCTTGTCTAGTTTTTGTAAAGTCCAGCCACGAGGAAGTTTGTGTGGAAGGTTGGTTTTTTATGAGAGTTTCCAGTTCTGAGAGCTCATTCTTGATCTTCCCATTTGCTGTATAGGATGCTGATCAGGTGGTTCCGCAGTTTCTTTGAGAGCGTGTGGCACAATGTTTCACCATAGTCTGTGTGGTATGTTGATTGTAATGGATTTTTTACCTTCAGTCCTTTTGGTAGGATGTCCATCTGTTTGCATTTGGAAAGGAAGATGATGTCTGTCTGTATCTGCACACGTTTTTTCATGAAGTTGATGGATTTCCACTTACTACGGCTAAATTCAGTGCCTTGCATAGTGACAGGTTTCAGAGTGGTAGCCGTGTTAGTCTGTAGCAACAAAAACAACAAGGAGTCCTTGTGGCACCTTAGAGACTAACAAATTTATTTGGGCAAGGTGCCATAAGGACTCCTCGTTGTTTTTCCTGATACAGCATTGACATACACGAAATTTCCTACAGCAACATGAATGAAACATTTCTAGCTCTGATAATAATGTAATATATAAAACAAAAATGATTGCATTATTTCTACTGTACCAAGTTCTGACATAGCCCCCTTCCCATAAAATACAGCCTAAAACATCTTCACAATAAAGTTTTCATTTAGGTCTTGGACAGTCTGCAAAGTGTTTTTAAATTGTAATGAGGAGGACTATTTTTGCGGATCTTCAGAATGATACAAATAGACTAAAGAAACTGAGTTCTGCAAAGTTTTCAGATATGAAAAATAGAAAATTTTGTGATGCACCAAAAGTTACACTATTGCTTTAAAATGTGAGTGCAAATCTAATTTAGCTTGGTAGTAGCTACTTTTTTCTTGGACTTTTGCCTAGAACTTGCTTATTCCATCTGCAAAAACAACATGGTAACCTCTAAAGAAATAAAATAACACATCTGTAAAGATGCAAAACCCAACACACTTTATACTTTTAAGTATACTGTATTTACCCTAAACATTACTGCTTATCAGCCAATAATAGAACTTTACTTTTAATCCACCTGAAAAATAAAGTTTCCGACATTAACCCAAACACTTTTTAAAGTGAATTTTTGAGCCTTAAAAAGAGGCCAGCTTGACAGTCCTAATGAATGTCTTCTTCAGTTCACCTAGAGAATAATAACTGTGACATACCCAGGGTAAGATCTAGATTGATGAGTTAGTTGTATCTCCCTGCCCTCTAACCTGGATGCCTATTCACTGCTTTGCTGCTGTAGCCATCACTCCTGGTCTGCTCACTTACAGCCTGCAGCGTGCAGTCACTCTCAGCTATATTGTGAAAGTGCTGCAGCCAGCCACTCTCTTGAATTACACCCCAACATTCCCCAGTCCCAGATTTCCCCCCAGAAATATGCATCTTGTACTACCCAGCCCTTCATGGACAATACATGCTTATATAAAGTTTGTCATTTGATAGTAAAAATGATATGCACACCTTGCTGATCCAAATGGAGTTTCCCAAAAACTTCAATTCAAACACACTGGATTAGATAAAACAATGAAACAAGTTTATTAACGACAGATTTTAAGTGAACACGAGTAATGAAGCATAAAAGTCAGAACTGGTTACAAGAAAATTAAAAGTAAAATGTAACTAGTGCCCAACTTAACCAACTAGGGTAGATTCAAAGCAAAGTCTCTCTCACCACATGTTTCAGCACTACTATTGGCTGAACTTCTTTCAGTGAGGCTCCCTCCCCCAGTCCAACACTGCTTCTTTGGTCAGGTGTTGTGAATGCCATAAAGAGAAAGAAAAGAAGGGAATATTTGGCATGTCTGCCTTTCCTTTTTATAGTCCTTCTCCTCCTTTGAGAAGCCTCTTCAGGCAGGCAACATGGTGATAGGCAGACTGTGTGGATGGGAACCCCAGGGCCGGCTTTAGCAAGAGCGGGGCCCGATTCCTGGGGGCGGGGCGTTGCTGCAAGCCCCACCCCCAGGACCCGAGCCGCGCCGGCGGGGGGGGACCCGAGCCGCGCTGCG